GAATTAAACCTTTAGATCAACCCAGACAAACCAGCGCCGCCACACCTATCAGAAGAGCTCACAATCACTAACGAAACCGAGCTTCGTCAAGTCAGCACTCGTCAGCTCACCACCAGCTGCTCGTCGTCACTACCAGCTGCTCGTCGTCGTCAGCTCATCGTCAGCTGCTAGTCGTCATCAACTCATCACCAACTGCCCGTCGTCGTCAGCTCAGCCACCAGCTGCTCATCCTCAGCTGTCGTCGCCGCCACCTCCCCATCGTCAGCACCCAGCTGCTCGTCCTTGTCAGCTCTACATCAGCCGTTCAGCCGTGTCACATTTTCCAGCGCATCTTCGGAGGGCAGATCAGCCTCTCCATGATGGTGATGAACAGGAGAGTAATAATATCAACTTGATTAGCGGGTGACGGGAGGCCACAAAGGTGAGGCCAATATCGGCGCGCTCAGGGGGGGGGGGGTAGAGTGGGCGGGGGAGGAGGAGAGAGGGAAGAGGGAAGATAGGAGAAGGGGAGGGGGGAAGGGGGAGGTGAAGGAAAGAGGGGGAAGGGGGGAGGAGGGGAAGGGGAGGGGAGAGAGAGAGGGAAAAGGTGGGAAGGAGGAGAAGGAAGGAGATAGAGAGAGAGGTTAGGGAAAGGAGAAGAAAAGAGGGAGAAGGGGGGAAGGTGTGGGAAAGAATGAGAAGGAAGGAGGAAGGGACATGGAAAGAGGGGAAAGAAGAGGAAATGAATAAAGGGAAAGGAAATGGAGAAAGGAAGGAAAGGAGAAGAAAAGAGACGGAAAAGAGAGTGGGGAAACGGGGAATTGAAAGGAGAAAGAAGAGGAGATGGAAGAGCGAAACGGGAAAACAGGGAGGGGAAGAGGGGGGGGGGTGAACTCGATGGCGCCACTCTCAAGGCATCCTGTTGTCGTGTTACCGAAAGGGTGCCACACTTGTACAGGCACCGTGCCAGTGTCGAGAATGAACGGGGCGGGGACAGAGATAAAAGGAGATAAAAGAAGGAGAGAAAGAGTGTGAGAGAGAGAGAGAGAGAGTTAGAGAGGAGAGAGGAGGGGTGAGGGAAAGAGAAAATAGAGAGAAAGAGTTAATAATGAGAGAGAGAGAGAGGGTCAGGGAGAAAAAAATAAAGAGAAAGAAGGAAGATGAGAGAGACAAGCAAACAGAGTGTGTGTGTGTGTGTGAGAGAGAGAGAGAGAGAGAGAGAGAGAGAGAGAGAGAGAGAGAGAGAGAGAGAGAGAGAGAGAGAGAGAGAGAGAGAGAGAGAGAGAGAGAGAGAAGAAGAAGAAGAAGAAGAAAAAAAGAGAAATAGAGAGAGAGCAGAAACGCAGAAATTCCGATTTCATAATGATATTATTTTTCTTCCCTTTTTTCCCAGAAAGAATGAAATACTTCCTCCACTTAATTCATGTTTATCTCTCTTCATTTATTTTCAGTTTCTAGTCTATTCATTCTTTATGTGTGTCTTTTTTTTCTTTTACTCTGTTATTCATTTTATCTTTCTTGTTAAAACGACTTGCTTTGGCTTTTGCTTTTATCGCTTTTCGTTTGTACATATTTCTTATATTTTCTTTAGTTTACTCGCTTATCCTTGCGTTTTCTCTATTCGAATTTTGTTATAGCATTCTTTCACCATTCCTCTTTTATTCTGTTCTATTTTCTCCTCCTCTGCTTTTCTCCTCTTTCCCTCAGCTTCCTCATCCTTATCATGAACATCCTCATGTCTTCCTCCCGCACTTCCTTCTTCTTTTCTTCTCCTCCACCATCTCCTCCCCCCCCTCCTCTCCTCCTCCTCCTCCTCTCCTCCCCTTTCTTTTATCCTTCTCCTCCTCCCCCTCTCACTTTACACTTCCTCTTCCTTTCGTCCCTCCCACCTTTCCTTCTTCTTTCCTCTCTTCCCTTCTCTCTTTCTTCCGCATCTCCTTCTCAGTTCCAACTCTTCTCTCATTCCTCTTGTACCACTTCCCCGTTCCTCTATCTATTCCCCCCACCCTCCCTCTCTCACCCCCTCCCTTACCCCCCACTGTCCCCTCCCCTCCATTTACTCTTACTCTCTCCTCTTCACTCACCCTTCCGTCCCCCGTCCGTTATCTTCGCTCTCTCTCCCCCCCCCCATCGCCCTGGCTCTCCCACCCCGTCTCTCTTTAGCTTGCTTCTTCTCCAGTTTTCCTTCTCTTTCTCCTTCTTTTCTCGTTCCCTGTTCTCTCCCTCTCTTTCTCCTTCTCCCTAATGTTTCCTTAGCTTTTCATCCCCCTTTTCTCCCTCCTCTTAGGCTTTTCCTTCCTCTTTAAGCCCCCTCCCCTTCATTCTCCCTGTCTTTTTTACCCTTCACCTCTTCCTCTCTTCACTCACTCCCCCTTTCTTCCTCTCCCTTTCCCTCGCTTCTTTGCTCCTTGTCCCCCCCTCTCCCCCCCTTCCCCTCAAACCCCCCTTGTTCCAAAGGCCTTCCTGCCTTCCACGTCCCCCTCCACCACCCACTCCCCACCAATTCCCTCCCCTCCCCTACCCTCCCTTACCCGCTCCCCAAACCCCTACCCTTACCAACCCCTTCCAACACCACCCTCTCCCCTCACACACCCCTACCAACCCCCTCCCTCCCTCCTCCCTCCTCCCACCAACCACCATCCCCCACCCACTCTCCCAGCCAACCCACCCCCCTACCCTCCCTTG